ATATATATATATGTGTGTATAGAAAAAAATATATATATATATATATATATATATATATATATATATATATATATAAATATATATATATATATATATATATATATATATATATATATATATTTATTTTTTTTATTCCAGATATTTGAGTTTTTTTGCACTGCTTGATTTTATTTGCAGTTCTTTTTTGTTTGCAAATTTTATTATTATTCCTTGAAACTTTATTTTCCCTTTGCAGTTCTTTATTCTTTGTTAGCAAAATTATTTTTATTTCTCTAAAATACATTTTAAAATTGTGATTTTTGGAGATTTTCATTTAATTATTTATTTTTTGCTCAATAATTTATTTTTTGTTAGCAACATTTTATTTTTTTATTTTGCAGGTAAATAGGGCCTTAGATTGACTCCATAAACATCAACGTAATTTGTTGTCATTATTGGACATCAAAATAAAGTTGTCCTTAGACGCTGGCTAGACATTGATTTTTGGTCACCTGACACCATGACCTAAATAAATCTAGCCTAATTAAGGTCTTATGATGTTGTGTGCCTGCTGGGTTTGCACAAAACTTGATTTATAAAAATGAAAAATGATAGCAAAGTTCCTGTTCATATATTGTTGAATTTTTATTTAAATTGTGGATGATCATTGTTATTAGTCCAACTCTGCTCTGTTGTTTTGCGAGTTGGAATTGTACAGTTAGGAGCTTGTGTTTTAAAATAAAATATTAATAAAAGGTAATAAAATGTGTTTTCTGATGACTGTTTCCATTCAGTGTTGTTTAATTCTTTTTCAGATTATTTAATGTAATTTGTTTGATTTTGATTGTTTTTTTTAATATCATTCTACATGTGTTGTTTTAGATTTATTAAGAATTTCAATTGTGTAAATGGGTCAATATTGGGACTGCAAAATGTATAATTATGAATAAATCGTTTTTTATTTAATTGGTTGTTTTATTTGCAACATAAATGACAGAATATTTATTTATTATTCTTAATTTAAATACTTTATTTTGTAAAGGATGTGTGTTAAGTTATTATTATTATTATTATTATTATTCATTTATTCATTTTCTTGTCGGCTTAGTCCCTTTATTAATCCGGGGTCGCCACAGTGGAATGAACCGCCAACTTATCCAGCAAGTTTTTACGCAGCGGATGCCCTTCTCTGGGAAATATCCGCACACACATTCACACACACACTCATACACTACGGACAAATTAGCCTACCCAATTCACCTGTACCGCATGTCTTTGGACTGTGGGGGAAACCGGAGCACCCGGAGAAAACCCACGCGAAGGCAGGGAGAACATGCAAACTTCACACAGAAACACCAACTGAGCCGAGGTTTGAACCAGCGACCTTCTTGCTGTGAGGCGACAGCACTGCCTACTGCGCCACTGCCTCACCCATTATTATTATTATTATTATTATTATTATTATTATTATTATTATTATTTCATCTCAATTCATAAGCTGTGTTCTCTTTCTCTATCGAATTGATAAAAAAAAGCAGTAAGGTGTCTGACCAGCAGGTGTCGCCGCGGCCTCACAGTCTCCTGATTTCTGCCCACCTGAGCGTAGCATCAGCCGCGGTGAATGACGCAATGCACTACTTGCTCATCTCTAGGGGCATCACAAACACAACACACACTTACACACACGGGTTCACTGTGGGTGGAGAGACACGCGTCCAGCTCAGACATGGACCTGACGGACTCCACTGCCGTTTAATAGCCGCTGTTTGATCGCTCGGAGTGTTTATAATCTCTGACTGACAGACAGAAGAGCAGGCGAAGTGTTTGACGAATCATGAGCGCGCGCGTCCGCTGTTTTTTAGCCTCTTCACGTGATGCTCATCTTTTAGTTTACTAATCATCGTCCCGCAAAACATTACGATGAAGGACACTGGAGAGTCAAAGGACCAGCAGCTGACAGTAAGTGTTATTTACCTCAACTTGTGTTTGCTCTAAACTACGTTCTGCTAAATATACAGTATGCATATGTAAATAAATAACCCTATATATATATATATATATATATATATATATATATATATATATATATATATATATATTTTTTTTTTTTATAGAGAGAGAGAGAGAGAGAGAGAGAGAGAGAGTGTGTCTGTAATATATACATATTTTTGTGTATCAGTTATGCAGCTTTTACTGTATATTAGCTTGTGTGCTACCAGTAGGCTAATAATAATGGGTGCTGCACATATTATAGATACACTTATTATAGATGCACTTATGTTATAAGTTTGAATAGCATATGTGAATAGACCATTTCAATATGGGAATGTCATTGACCCCTGCTTGTTATCAAACTATTTCATAACTGTAACAAGAGGCAATTCAATCATAACTTAATGTTCAAACAGCCATCATAACATTATTTATCAATATGTGGGCTTTTTTGGATTCTCGGAAGCCAAAGAAATAAAAAATGTCAACCATTGTTTTTGTTTACATCCATCAAAATGGTTTATATATATCGTATTTCTTGTGGTCTTTACAGATGTTTAGGCTTTGTGCAGGAAGTAATTATAAATGCAGTACATTTTATTGTATGATGAGAAACTATTGTGGTAAAGTTGACTTGAAGTACATGTTCCATGTAAATTATTTAAAGCAGCAGTTTGATGTTGGCTTTTGCAGTTATTATGCATCTTTTATGAGCTTACATTGAGAGACTCTCTTACTTAATTTAATGAATACATTTATTGATTGCACTTTTATATCATTATTACACATTTATTGCAGGACTATTGAAATGATTTGCTGAGCAAGACAGTGATTAAAAATGTAAGACTTGATACAGTGGATTGAATCAGATTGTCATCCTAATTCTTACGTTAGTCTTTTTTAAATATTACTGAAGATATGAGTATTGATGATATGTAGAAGGAATGTTGAAAATTATATGCTCAAGCAAATATGCTGGGGAGAAAGTTTTATTTGTGTTTGCAGCAGGTTGACTTCTTCAGAATGTATTGCAGTTCTTTGTACACAGCTGCTCTGTGGTATAATTAAAGAGAGTCTCCTTAAGATACAGGTTGCATACAATGATTCTATGAGGATTCTTGATAAAAAAAAAAAAAAAAAAACAGAGATGGTGTAGTCCAAGTGAATTATTTGATTTGTAATTTGATTTATACGTTTATCTGTTGATTGGAGAATTATCAGAATAGCGTTTTAATTTGATAAACCCTAGGCTTACTGAGATGCGTTATCAGTAGGGCCAGACAGAATCTGCAGACATTTTTTGCTATTTTGTTTTATGCGGAACGATTTTGGGATAATCATAACTAAAAAAAATTATATATGAAATACAAAATAATACATTTTTAACTTTTATTTAGTGTTTACAATGCAAATTGAATTAGAACCACTTTTTTGATGAACAAAGCCAGTCTCTTATATAATATCTCTACTAAAAGACAGAAAATATTAATTTACAAACTGCATTGTAAATAAATCATATAAATATTTTAATACTAGTGAAATTAATTTAAAAATTAAATACCTTTATATTTACAGAAGTGAATAAATAGACTCAGTGATAGGCATGGGACGATAACCATATGGTGAAAAGGTCCAGGTTTTAAAACTGCCAAAATTTTCTGTAATACCATTCCTAAGGTATTTTTTTTATTAACTTTTTCTTTTGTTTGTTTGGTTTTTTAGGACAACAGTATCTCCAGCAGAATAGATATCTAAAGATGCCATTTTAAATTGTAAAGAAATCTGTGTTTTGGAAACAAATGAAAACAGCAGAAGTCAATGATTCATTTGAATATAGCCTGAAATGTTTACTGCTCCAAAATATCATAAGTCTTTCAAAAAATCAAATACATTATTTTCAAAGGGAAAAAAGTTTTTGTTTTTTTACCTAAACATTTAAAAATAACATATTTAAGAGCAGTGAGCACAATACCGTGAAACTAAGATATTTTTATCCAAGGTTATAATAGAGTCAGAATCTTATACCGACCCATGCCTACTCAATGATGGGCTAAAAATCATTGGAAATCTCTGTGGGCCTTAGTTATCAGTCACCTTTGATGAAATATTGGCTTAACTGTCTCTTTTAATGTGAATTGTGTGGTTTGTATTGTTTTGTCTGTCTTTAATGGACCTAGTGTCTGGAATAAAGAGAATATATATTTTCTTCTGAGCTAATAACATGGCATTATTTACGGAGGTACACACTATGATTTCATTTACTGTAACAATATTTATTTAGTATTTATGTATAAAAATATTCTCTGGCATATTTAAAATTCAAATCATTCGATGAAATTTCAAAGCATCACAGACAACAATATTTTGACATTTTATTTTCCCAAAAGTTGCTTTATTACTACATTACTTGCATCTAATATGCTTTCTGTCTACAAAAAAAAGGCTCTATTTAATATTTAGTGTGCACAAATGTATAATAAGACACAAACAAGTGACTTTAAGCATGGGACGATAACCGTGTTCAAGGTTTTAAAACCGTCAAAATTTTCTGCTATACCATTTCTAAGGTATGAGTACGATTTTTTTTTTATTTTTTTTTAGGACAGCAGTATCTCCAGCAGAATAATCTCCAAAGATGTTGTTTTAAATTGTAAAAAAAATAGTGTTTTTGAAACAAATGAAGACTGCAGAGGTCAATAATTTATTTGAATTATTTAGCCTTACTGCTTTAAAACATTTTAAATGTTCCTCAAATTAAAATATATTGTGTACAAAAGGGAAAAAGATTTTGTTTTTTACCCAGACATTTAAAAAGAATATATTTTACAGCAGTACTCTCAATACCCTCATACTGTAAAACCGTGATATTTATATCCAAGGTTATCATACCGTCAGAATCTCATACCGGCCCATGCCTACTTTAGACATGAACAAAATCCAGATTTTCTTCCCTGACAGCCTGTCTACTTAAAACCCCAGTACAGATTTCAGTCTGCCAGTCTTCTCTTGTTATATTTAGATTTCTTGTGAGCCCAATACCTGTTTTCTACTGATCTTTTGCCCCCGTCTCAATTATTCACAGAGCCAGTTTAAATTCCCTTTCTCTCTTTCCATTTGCATTACATCATTCCAGCTGTAAATGTGGGCCAGTGAGACTCCTTTTCTAGGTCAGTTCCCATTATAACAGGAGTAATCAATAAAAACAATTATGGATCCGTAAACCTAAATTTAGCATTAGACGTTTGTGCCACTATGTCTTCATGCAGGTATTGGGTGTTTGAGCAACATAACTGGTTTTGCCGCATTCTATTAAATGTTAGACTGCATTTTATCTTTTCGCTCGACAAGCAGCAATAGCCTCCAGCTATAATATTCATACTGAATAATTAACTCGCTAGTGTACATTGCAGAGCTGCATTGCAGCACTAAGGTCCATCAGTGTTGATTTTATTACAAAATACATCAGTTTCATGCACAAAACTTCATTCTCCTGCAGGCCAGCTCATTCAGACACAAGTAGATAAACAGGAATGCACTTAAAACATAACTTTATTAGAGAATTGTGTTCTTCAGACATCTCAATCATGGGAATGGATGCAGGTTGTGTATGAATGGCTTGATAGAGATGTATGTTTTTGTGCCTGTTGGTGCAACTTTTGTGTACTTGGAATGTTTTTCAAGGAAAATATTTTGAAGGGTTGTTTTTACATTTATTATTGAAGCCTGTTTTTGCCACCATATACTAATAAAAAAGGGTTATTATAACCTTTTATCTAAGAATTGTGTAATAGGGCTGCACAATATATTGTTTCAGCATCGATACTGCAGTGTGTGAATTACAATAGTTGATCAGCATCAAAGTTCAGAACGTGATTTGGGGAGTCATCGTATAAGTTTAACCCTCAAATAGACTGAAATATTTGAATTTGGATGTTTTTAAGACCTTTGACTTTGTAAGATTTAAGCAAACTTAAATCAAGTGTTTATAAAGGTATATAAACCAAAAATAAGAGTGTTTAATTATTTATACAATGAAGGCTTTACACTATAGAGTTCTCAAACTTGGTCCTGGAGGTCTGGGGCCTCATGTACGAAGACTTGCGTGGAAATCTTACTAAAACATTGCGTACGCACAAAGCTGTAAATGTGCGTACGCAGAAAAAATTTCAGATGTATGAAACACTGCGTACACCAAATCTCACGCATATTCTTTTGTACATCTGAATGAACGTGAAACTGAGCGCAACATGCACGAGCACAAAACCCCTCCCTGCCTCCTCCCCCGTATGAATATGCTAATGACTATGCTAATGGCAAAACCCAACGAAAAAGCAATTTCAAAAGCAAGCAAAAAGAGAAACTTTAAACAGAATGCGAATTGGAGGTGCTGCTTTCGGAGGTAGACCGGAGAAAAGCGGTGTTATTTGCAAGTTTGTTCTCCAGAATTAACAACAAAAAAATAGAGTGGGAGAGTTTAGCTGATGCGGTCAACACAGTTGGGTCTGAACATCGCACTGAGTGCATTGAAAAAAAGAAATAGTGTGGTTTATATCTGTAAAATGTTGCAGGACGCTTAACAGTCTCAGTGGCGCTACTCGTAAGATGCATGTGATCATGAATTGATACGTTCGAGCATGAACTCGGCTCGAATCCAGCGTCTGATGAACTCTTTCTTGTTTTTTCCCCCGCTACATATCAGATTTTGCCAACTATTTATCACGAGAAAGACAAGTAGGAATCATCAATAAGTTCATATCAATAAGCATCATATTTTATTTGCACATTTATTGAATGGAAATGTTTCTAATTCACGCATGCAAATTCATCTTCAGATAGTGTCTTTATAGCAATGTGCGTGCGGTAGATCGCTCAGATTACATTGAGAAAACAGGCGACTGCTGCAAATTGTGCTTTAATGTTTAGCTGGTCAAATGTATGGTATGGAAACCTTATATACCTGCTGAACCCGTCTCATACAGCTGCCATTGCAAGGCTCAGACACTTTGTAGAGAGGAATTTAACACAACTGCCTCTAGGAGTCGCCAATGGAAATAAAACAGACACGCACAAAAAATGTGCGTACGCCAGCCAGAAAGCTGCCGTGAAGCTGCGCACATTCCCACGTTCAGTTCATTGTTAGTAAATCCAAACATGAGCGATTCTGAGCGTGAAACCTGGCGTACGCAAAGTTTTTGTGCGTACGCAGCGTTGATACATGAGGCCCCTGGTGTCCTGCAGATTTTAGCTCCAACTTGGAAGGATGTTTCTAGAAAGCCTAGTAAAGCTGCGGTCACACTGCACTTTTTTTCCTCATAGACTTCCATTCATACGCACGCAAATGCGTCAGACTGGAAACGCAAGCTCGTACAACACATTTGGCAGCTTGGAATGTTCAAGCTTGGTAATCTCTTAACAGCGAAATTGCATCATGTGATTGCATGAGACCAACCAAAGATCAAAACATGACCTCTTTGGACTTATATTTAAAACATGGATCAATCGCTCTTGTTTAATCTTGTTTAATCCTGCCCCTTGTCGCAGAGCCGTACAACAGAATTTCACACGCACAAACTTTAGTGTGACCGCGACATAAGAGCTTGATTAGCTAGCCTAGGTGTGTCTGATGGGGGTTGGTAATAAACCTTGCAGGACACTGACCCTCCATGACCGAGGTTGAGAACCATAGGCCTGCACTATAGAGTGTTATTTTATCTATTATTATTGAATTTCTGTACCTTAACACTGTTAGATTCCACAGAAAACCATAAAATTAGTTTGTATTCGCTCAAGTGAAAAATATTTCCTGTATCGGTATGTTTCTATATTATATAATGTAAAAATATTAATTTATTCCGAATAGAGTTATAAGTGATCTTGTGAAATTATATTCATATCGCAGTATATATTGCAGGCACGCTTAATATCGCAATATCAGTTTTTCCCAATATTGTGCAGCCTTAAATCTGACTTTTTGTCTCAGAAATGTGAGATGTGAAAGTGTGAGGTTAGTCTGAATTGCGAGATATAAACTCACAATGTTGCAGTTTTGTGTGGACGAACAACCAAACCATGTAGGAAAAACTGAAGTTTTAAAAATGCCACATTTGCGTGGACAGGACTCTAATGCCATGCCATTCATTCAAGTGTAGTTTTTTGTTCAGATACTTTCGGAGGCTAATGCATTTCCTCTTTTCTTGTTTTCCAGGTGGCCCTGAGGATTCGGCCATTGAGTGATGCTGAACTGGAGGAAGGAGCCACTATTATAGCCCACAAAGTGGATGACCAGGTCAGAGGAGACAGATCAATAAGTGTGTGTGTGTGTGTACCGGTTTTGATGGTTTACATGGACATTTTTTTTTTTTAATGTCATGAGTATGACCTAGTTGTAATCTTACAGGGGTTTACTACATGTTAGATGTCCTTGTTATTCAAAACGGTTAAACAATCGTACTTACTGGTGTCTTTCGATATTAAAATATTTCCACTGGTTTCCTACGAGGGTTGGGTTTAGAAGTACTGTAAATTTATAATATCTTACAATATAAAATGAATGATGAGTCCCTTTAAACCACCAATGACAATTATGAAGAGTCCCTGTAAACCACCAATAACAACATGTGTGTGTGTCTGTGCATGTTTTTGTGACATACCAGGATGTAAAAGTGTATAATGACATTGTCATGGAACAGGCATTGCAACGCGTTAGTGACTTATGAGGGTATTGCATGCTGTCTCCATTTTTAAAGTAAAATTGCACACGGTTTCCTGTAAGAATTAGGTGTAGGATAGGGCAATAAAAAAGACAGTTTGTACAGTGTATAAACAATGGAAAACTATGAAATGCTTATATATATATATATATATATATATATATATCCCAAATGATTTTTCACAAAGCAAGAACATTTCCACAGTATGTCTGATAATTTTATTCTTCTGGACTTATTCATTTTATTTCAGCTAGAATAAAAGCAGTTTTACATTTTTCCAAAGCCATTTTAAGGTCAAAATTATTAGCCCTTTTGAGCTATATTTTTTTCAGTAGTCTACAGAACAAACCATCGTTACACAATAACTTGCCTAATTACCCTAACCTGCCTAGTTATATCTCTGCATGGTACTATGCATTCTGTGGCAGTCTTTTCTATGACCATGATGTGGATTACTACCCCAAATCTTTGACAGGGTGACCCTTGCACTGTATATGTAGTTATGTGTCCAGTGATTCTGCATTGAGTACTATTTACATATGCAGTCTGTATTTGCTTCATGATCTGTTTGTGTTAATTGGTTGGCCTCTGTTGTGTTCAGTATAAGAGCTAAACAGATGACTCAGGCTGTTTATTCAGCTTCTGAAAAAAAGCAATATTTAATGAGTCCAGCACTCACATTATTCAGAGAATACTGCTATCAACAGGAAATCATGTTTTGTAGATCAAACAGTCCTGTACAAGTAATCAGATCTCGGCTAGAAAAACATGCGATGAGGACATCACAGAAGTCAAAATGCTAAAGAGTATTATTAATTATTATTGATTATTATTATATCATACTCTTATTATTGTGCATTTAAAAAATATAGACAATTAGGGCTAGATTGTGATGGCATTGTCCATTGTGTAATTTTAGAAGTCTTTTTTTTTTCAAAATTGGTTGGGAAACAGTGACGGCATTAACAACAGGCTTGTTTAATTGTCCCCAGAGCTCTCATTGGCATTGGTGGTCAGATGTTCTCTCTCAAGGGTTTAAGTCACAACGACAATTAGCCAGTGCCATGAGATCTCACTACACATAATTTAATTTACCTGTGACCTACTATTTAAACATATATTTTTTTTAAAAATGTCCTTGATTTGTGATTTTTCACGGTGGTGCAGTGGGTAGCATGAATGCCTCACAGCAAGAAGGTTGCTGGTTTGAGCTCCAGCTGGGTCAGTTGGCATTTCAGTGTGCAGTTTGCGTGTTCTCCCTGTGTTGGCGTGGGTTTCTTCTGGGTCGCTAAAGTAAAAAAAAAATTGAATAAGCTAAATTGGCCGTAGTTTATGTTTGTGAAAGAGTGTGAATGGGTGTTTCCCAGTGGCTGGATAAAACAAAACATATGCTGGATATGTTGGCGGTTCATTTCCCTGCGGTGACCTCTGATTAATAAAGGGATTAAGCCAAAAAGAAAATGAATGAATTAATAAATAAACAACAGTTTTGACTTCAGCTATATATTATTCATTATTTTTCATAACAACAGTTACCCCGTATTCTCCATCGTATTTGGTGCTTTTTTGGTGGTCTTTAAAACATGTGTTTAATTTACAGTGTAAAATATTAGCCATTTGCTTGTGTATGCTAGATGCTAACTTATAACTAGTTACTGGTTTTCATCTGAATGCTGCATATTGTTGAATGGCTAACATTGACTTTAGCCCCACGGACAGTCATCTGAGGTGGTCATGTTTACCTTCGCGCACTTCAGCTTAACAATGCAAACTGGTTATACAAGGGCTGATGGGATTAGTAGCATGTACAGAATGGTTTTGATGCTGTGTATTATGTTTGTGCAGTCATCCCCATGAATAGAGGAAGACAGAACAAGACTGCCAGTACCAACTATAGAAAAACACTCAAAAACACGCACGCATGTCTGCCGGTGAGCATCCAGGCTAGTTCATGCTGGTCTAAGCTAGTAAGCAATTATCCAGATTCGCTGACAAACCAAACTAAGCGCCCTTCTTATCTGTTTTACCCAACGTGCCATATGGCAGCACTATCTGCGAGTAGACTAAGGCGTGTTTTTTATTAGTGGTGTCTGTGGTGTTTTCCCTCCCTGATGGCACTCATGGAGGGGTAAACCTTAAGAGGATGAGCTCACCGTCAGGGACTTTGGGTGGCTTAGACAGCAGCCACCTGCTCTTCAGGGCTTCCAACCACCTGACGGCTGCAGGATCATGCCAACGTTGGTATAGCATCAGTGCCAAGCTGTCCTTCATTGCTAAATCTGATTGGTGCATCAATTATCTTCACATGATTCAATAGCTATTGCATACGCATTGGATTATATCATTAGGAATCCCAAGAGCTCGAAGTAATGTTGAATGGATTGCTTGTGCAAATCCAATGCTTATCGAACAATTTCAGCGTTATTGATCTGATCATTTCCATCAAAATTAAAACAGGGTTCATATGGTCATGGAAATCTGTAAAGGGAATTCTGACATGGCATTTTCCAGGCTTGGAAACGTTTTGGAAAAACAGAAAAAACCCACAAGGTTTTGGAAAAGTCATGAAAATTACATTTACGTTTGGTCATTTAGCAGACATTCTGTCCAAAGTGACTTAAGCTGCGGTCACACTAGAGCTTGTGCTTGCAAAATTCTGTCATACGCCGCTGTGAAAAGGGGCAGGGTTAAACAATATGATTAAACATTATTCAAAGTGAGCGATTGCTCCATATTTTAAGTTTCTTATTTTAAATTATCTTCCATTAGTCTCACGCAATCACCTGATGTGATTTCACAGGTAAGAATTCACCAAGTCAAATGCAAAACATGTGCTTACATTTCTGGTCTGCTGCATTCGCATGCCTATGAACGGAAGTCTATGGAGCAAAAAGTGCAGTGTGACCGCGGCTTTTTAATAGAAGTAGTTTTGCCTACTATTAGTTTAAGGAGCTAATTAGATTATCTAAAATTATTTTGATAAGTATCTGTTTATTGGAATGGAGGTTAGTCATTTTTACTTCTTTTCTTGGCCAAAAGCATGCTCTAACGTTATTGGTGCTGTGCAAGAATTATCTATTTTACATAGATATTAAAATAAATTGAAACTATTGCGTGTTTTATAATATGCTGTAATAGATTTAACTGTTCTATAATATTTACCACCTATATGTAGACATTACATGAAACATTAGGTCATGAAAATTTAATTTTTGTAGTAAAAATGTGTATGAACCCTATTATAAACATTCATCGAGAATGTACAGCTGTGAAATAAGTATTGAACACATCTTGTTTTTTTTTCTGGAATGATATTCCTAAAGGAGCTGTTGACATTGGAATTGAACCAAAGTTTATAAAAAGCCAAACAATACAAACATAAACAAATCACATAAAATCGGAAAAAATAGTTATGTGTAATAACAACTCTGAATTTCCCTATTGTTTTGAATTTCATTTGAAATATAGGTATAATTTGAATGCATAGTTAAAAGTTAGCCTACAGCGCTATCTGTTGTTCAAATCTAACCTCAGAATCAATTTAAGTTAGACTAGCGATGCTTTTTGGAGATCTCACAAACGATTTCTCACATAATTTTTCACCACAGCTCTAAACAAAATGGACATGTTGTTTCCGTGGGTCTCTGATCTGTAATTTGACTTTCTATTGGATTCAAGTCAGGGGACTGACTGGGCCATTCTACAGCTTGATTTTCTTTCTCTAAAAGCATTTGAAAGTTTCCTTGGTTGTGTTTAGGTTCATTGTCTTGCTGAAATGTTCACCCTGTCTCATCTTCATCATCCTGCTAATGTAGATGTTGAACTGAAGCAGCTGATATTCATTTACAATGAGGAAGGGCAGAGGGTTGCTGAAGAACTACTGAGTGATTTCAGCTGCTGTCTGGGCTTTCACTACCTTTCTACACCTAAGTAAACTAAGTATATGTGTTTACTTTGCATTTATGGATTTCTTTGTTCGTTACCGACATCCGTGAAAAATTTTCATTTATGAGGAAAAAACTTTGTTTTGGATATGACATCTCTCTGGTACAGATGTGACATGTGAAATCAGCACTTGTGTAAATTTGGTATAATAAATTAAATTGTTCAAAAACATTGACAGATAGGTATTTTTAAAGTGTGCAAGCCTACACAAACATAGACTAGTTTTCACTGTTTTGGTGAAAACATATTTTTATGGAAAGTTTAATATTTGCATGGAATTGATCAATTCTTATTTTGATTTTACAGAAGACTGGGATTAATCGCTATTTATTAACATCTCTACAATCACATCATTACATTACATTGTGTCCTAACCAGCCACAACTCAACAAGATTGCATGAGATGCTACATGACAGAAACAATTAAATGCTGCAGCAGCTAAAAAGTGCAGAATATTATATTGCACTGGCAACAAAAATAGATTATTTAAATTGCATGTTTATTCTCTCTTGAATAGATTCTGAGCTTAGTTTTTAACACCGGATATTTTTCCAGTTCCTTACAAATTATTAAATTTAGGAAAGATGTAAGCAAATTACAAAATTGTTCTTTAGTGAGTTCCAGCCTAGA